ATTTTAGCAGCTGCTGCTGCTGTATTCGAGGAATCTTTCAGTCTAGATACAGTGATAATGACCGCCTTGCGCCTTAATTGCTCTGGCAACAACAACGCACGCGCCTGGGTTCCACGGAATAAGCCGCTGAGGCCACCATCGTCTTCCGAATAGAGCGCATGGTCGTTCTTGCTGTGTATGTAGACTGAAAGTTGCCTTCTGGGAACACCTCCTGCTGCGCCTTGATTGCCACGTGGCATCAGCGCCATGCAGCAGCCAACTCTAATGACCGGGCGTTCTATTCGGGGGAAACGGTAGTTGCTACTCATAAGGTATCCGCTATACACGACTCCACAGACAGAAAAAAAAAAAAAAAAAAAAAACATGACCGTGCCAGACTTTCTTCGGCTCTTTCCTTGATTAATGGGGGCATCATCAAGAAAGGAAAGGGTAGGGGATAATTAGTAAAAGGAGGAGAAAAAAAAAAAAAGAGGGAGGAGAAGGACAACGTAGGATAAGGAGGGAGGAGGGAGGACGAAGGAGGACAGGACAGGAAAGCAAGACAGTGAAGGAAAAGGAAGGAGGGAGGAAGGAGGGAGGAGGAGGGAAGAGGAGGAAGAGGAGGAGGAGGAAGACGAAGCAGAATTAACTTTCTGTTGGAGGTTAACCGTTTTCACCTTAATCCCCCTTATAAATAATTGAAGAAAAACTCGGAAATTTTTTATTTATTTATTTTTTTTAAATAAGCGGTGTTGAAGACGAAAACGGCGATGTCCTTGGGGACATCCTTGAAAATTGGAACGACACAGAGAAAAAAGATTAGCATGTCCTGGAGCGAGGATGACACATAAATCAAAGAAGAAGAAAAAAAAAAAACGACCTTGAGAAGAGGAAAGACGGAAGAAACGGCAAATTAGTAATTACACAAAAAAAGAGGGGCGCATCTAATAGAACTCTTAATCCACGTTTCACATCTTGTATATATCGTCACATATATCGTCACAAACAGAACTGCCCGGTAAAACCGTAGGCAGAGAGAGAGAAGAGGACAACAATATATTTATAAATATATTAATAAATATATTTATAAATATTTTATAAATGTTTTATAAATATATTTATAAATATATTTATAAATATATTGTCACATGATATCAGAGCGCCTAAGCGAAAAAACCAAAAAAACAAAAAAATCTTAAATTCGTTTTTAATCTTCTTCCTTACAACTCCCCCTGTTCAGAACCTCTTGCGTACAAGGCCGCCCACGTGGATGTAGGTTGAGCGGCGGCTGCCCCCACCCCCGTGTGTCATATCGACCCACTTGCACACAGCCAAAAGGCAAAGAGGCAAAGAAGAGAGGAAGGGAACAGCCAAATGAAACAAATAGAACAGAGGGAAACAATACATTACTGCCAAGTAAACCGTAGGCAGAGAGGGAGGGAGAAGAGACAACAAACGACCGGCCGTGGCAAACTGTTTCGTCGGAGTTTCACCGACAAACACATCAGGAGGCTGAATATATACATGTACAAAAGCTTAAATCTTACGCAAAAAAAAAAAAGAAGGAACTCCAACCATTTTGAAAAAACAAAAAAGAACAAAAAGAGAAACAAAAGAGGGAATAAAATGAAGAACAGGGAAAAAATAAAAAAAAGACGGCCGCGTAATGAGGATTTGATGCGAGCAAATTAATATAAATATTACATAATTATGCGACTAAAGCATTTTAATAATAGGAAATTTTCATAAACATCACAAAAAAAACACCTGCGATTCCGATCCAATTCCAAATTAGGCAAACCGCACGATATTATACCCCCCCCCCCCCCCCCCAAAAAAAAAACAGCTACCCCACAATATTGCGCAGCCAACAACGGGTGCGTTAAGAGAAACGAAGGGAGGAGGGGGAAAGAGAAAGAAGGAAGAAACAAGATGGCAGGAAGAACGAGGAAGAAAGTGCAAGGAGAAGGAAGAAGCAGGAAGATGGTTGTACGGACTTCATGAGATAGATGAACAAATAATCCCCGCAAGAAGAAGAAAGATGATCTGTATAGTCGTGCAAGAAGAACAAAGATGATCCGTATAGTCGTCGTACAAGAAGAAGAAAGATGATCTGTGTAGTCATGCAACAAGAAGAAAGATGATCCGTATAGCCGTGCAAGAAGAAGAAAGATGATCTGTATAGTCGTGCAAGAAGAAGAAAGATTATCTGTATAGTCGTGCAAGAATAAGAAAGATGATCTGTATAGCCGTGCAAGAAGAAGAAAGAGGATCCGAAGAAAGGGAAAGGAAAAAAGAAAGGGAGGGAGAAGGGAGGAGAGAGCGGAGAAGAAGATCGGGAGCAATTTGGAAGATAGAGGGAAGAGGTAGGAAGAAGACCAGCCGACTGGAGGGCATCTGTTGGGGGGGGAGAGAGAAGGGGGGAAGAAGGGAGAGAGAGGGGGGAGATAAGGGGAAAAAGGGAGAGCGGGGGGGGGGGGAGGGGGGGGGGGGGTATGTTTCTACTTTTAGCTCGAATCCTGGCACTCCCACTTCGTGGCCTTCCTACATTAATTAATTACATGTTCTCAGCTAGGCTCTTTGTCCAATTTGTGCCCGGGCATCCAATTTATGCCCGGGTACACGCCCGGGTGCACGGCCGGGCAAAAGCCAAGTAGCCTAGATGCAGTGTACTCGTGGGGGCGAAAGTCTATATAGGATGGATCCCATCTTCTTGTTTTTTTCAAACCTACGCTAGCTATACTCTCTCTGTCTACTCTTCGTTGCTTTTCTTTTCCCTTATTTTTTTGCTTTTTTTTTTGCTTTTTTTTTTTGCTTTTTTTTTTGCTTTTTTTTTTTTAACTACTCTATATTCTTCTCTCAATTTCACCTTTCCCTATCTACCTACCACTACATATACAGGGGACCCCTGCAATCATTTCGTTGATAATTTCATTATCATTATATCATTATTATGTATGAAATTGCCAGAAAACTGTTAATTAAAATATACGACGTACATCAGGATGATTGGAAAAATGCACACCAAACATATCTCCCATACTTCTCGGTCATTCCCTCGACCAACCAGCTGTGGAAAATATTCCAACTGCTGAACAGATTGACGCGAGTTATTTCATCTACACGTGCACATGCACATGCACGTGCAAACATGCACGTGCACATGCACGTGCACGTGCACGTGCATGTGCATGAAGGCGTGAGTTACACTGACTACACCACTTCCAATCTATATCTATATTCTCAAGAAGAAGGGGGAGGATAAGGAGGAGGGAGGAGGAAAAAGGGGGGAGGGAGAAAGACATATGAAGCTGGATAAGGTAGAAGAAGATTACGAGTTACAGTTGGAAACGATGAGGGGGATGAGGATAGGGATAGCCATAGCTAGAGATCGAAGGGTGCAATTTTTTTCCTTTTTTGTCCACAGAGCACATACAGCTAAGAGGGGGGATTAGAGTGAGTGAGGATGAGTGAGGATGAGTGAGGATGAGAGTGGATAAGACGATTAAAAAAAAAAAAAATTGGTTAAGAGTGCATAAGAGTGGATAAGAGTGGATAAGTGAGGATAAAAAACAAAAAAAAGAATGGATAAGAGTGGATAAGAGTGGATAAGTGAGGATACGAGTGGATAAGAGAATAAAAGGTGGGTGGGTGGGGTACATGGACAAGATAAGATAAACTGAACGGATAAGAGAAAAAACTGAACGGATGAAGTGTCAACAGAACGGATAAAGTGTAAACAGAATGGATAAACTGTAAAGATGGACACCGATGAAACATAGGGAAAAAGTCATAAAACACAAGGGAGACGATCAGAGAGGGGAGAAGAAAGAGGGGAGGAGGAGAAGGGAGGAAGAGGAGGAGGGCGAGAAGAAGGGAGGAAGAGGAGGAGGACGAGAAGAAGGGAGGAAGAGGAGGAGGAGAGGAAGAAAGGACGTAGCGGAGGAGGAAGAAGAAGAGGAGGAGGAGGAGGAGGAGGAGGAGAAAGGCGGAGGAGGAGGCGAAGAAAAGAAGGAGAGGTGGAGGAGGAGCAGGAGAAGAGAAAAGGGGGAGGAGGAGAAGGGTCATGGGAAAGAAGGACAATCTATAGCGAAGAGGGAACAATGACACACTAGTAATTAGTGATTACTCAAAAAAAGCATTGAGGCGTTGACGACAACACTCAACGATATATAATACTGAAATCGCTTATAACACTCGACGACATAATTTCCCTGTGACTGCCTTTCTCCAACATTATGTTATACACAGCGAAAGAGAGAGAGAGAGAAAGAGAGAGAGCAATCTGAAGCACAACAATACATGTATATCGAAATTTGGGGGGTCGCCAGAGAGGGGGGGGGACCGTAGGGATAGGGAAAGAGGGGTATATAGTAATTCCTAGGCTTCCCGCTCCGTAGAAATGGCGATCAGGAGTCACATAAGATTAGAGAGAGAGAGAGAGAGAGAGGGAGAGAGAGAGAGAGAGAGAGAGAGAGGGAGAGAGGTGAGAATCGGGAGGACGACCCTAGGGCAAGAGAATACATATAGCACCAATCACAGCGAGAGAGAGAGAGAGAGAGTAACAAATTAACTTAGGTCATGCGGGAGGAGGAGGAGGAGCAGCGGCAGGAGAGGAGGAGAAGGAGAAGGAGCATGAAAGAGAGAGAGAGAGAGAGGGAGGGAGAGAGAGAGATCAATTCAGGTTAATTGAGGTCATGGGGAGGAAGCGCAGCTTGACGGTGAGATGGCAACCAATCAAATCAGGCCATGCAGAGGAGGACGACGACGAGGACAGAGGAGGAGAAGGAAGAGAACGAGGAGGTGAACGAGGAGAAGGAGGAGAAAGATCGCCAGAAGGAGCAGCAGCAACAGCAGCATGACAGAGAGAGAGAGAGCAACAAATCAATTTAGGTCATAGGGAGGAGGAGTAGCAGCGGCAGGAGGAGTAGGAGCCGCTGCAGTTGGAATCGGCAGTGGAAGAGCAGATCTGGGCGGAGAAGCAGGAGGAAGAGGAGAGCACGCGGAGGAGAGGGAGGACAACCACGACGAGGAGAAGGAGGAAGAGGACGAAGAGAAGGAGAAGGAGGAAGAGGAGGAAGAGGAGGAAGAGGAGGAAGAGGAAGAGGAGTATCAGGCGGAGGAGCAGCAAGAAGACGAGTGGTAGTACGAGTAAGAGGAGGAGGGGGAGGAGGAGGAGGAGGAGGAGGAGAAGTGTCATCCATCCTTGCACCCACCGGCGTGTCAAACGAAATGCAGCACTCGTCCTTGTAGATTTTGTTCGATGGTTCTGGAATGCGTACGCGACTCAGATTCGCCCGAAGACGATCCATGGTGACCGATAGATCAAGGGATCGATCCCTCGGCGGCACTCTCTCCCCACGATCTCCCGCTCAACGGCCGAGGAGCTTCCGGCCTTAGTTCAACCCGCGTTAGCGCGTTAGCGCCCGGATTCCTTCCTCCACGTTGACCCTGGAGTTTAGCAGAGCAGGAAGAACAGTTGCGATCCCGACTCCATCGCCATCGCCAAGCCTGTAGAGAGAGGCGGGCGAGGAGCCGGGCGAGGAGCGGGGCGAGGAGGCGCGGAAGAGAACCGCAGCGCGTCCCGATCCAAGCCGTGTCCCAATCCGGATCCAATTCGTTGTCAATCTCGCCTCCAGAAGTTACCTGCCTTCACGTCAAAGGCAGACCCGTCTTCGATACAACACAAAGGGTCTCGTTCCACACCACTCTCGAAATGTGGAAAAGACAAACATTTGGCGGGCGCATCTGGCCATGTTCTAGCGGGAAGTTCATTCTCATTTTGCACATGTCGCGAGTAGTGTGGCGACGCCCAAAGGGCCTCGTTCCACACCACTAGAGAATTCGCGAGTTTTCAAGGGCACCCTAATCGCAAAACTGTGATTAATTTTCACTACAACGAATCTCCGTTCCATGTGCACTAGAGACCGCAGCCCTTGAAATCGGAACCCTTGAAACGAAAACAGAGGGGGACTTGGTGGGGGCCGTAAAATCCAGTCCTGCGGGGCCCGGACGAAAAGATGTCCGTCTTCAGCCAGGCCCACTGATCCGAGGGACCGGTGCGGGTACCATCATCCGAGGACGCGACAGTGCCGTCTTTTTTAATTCAAAAAAAAAAAAATTCGTCAGGCAAGGTATGCTGCTCAAGGCGGCGGTAAAAGCCAGGCATTCAGTCGCCGAAACCTCGTCATAGTCAATCCTTTATGTACCTGCAAGCGGGGCGGAGCTATCCGGAGTGTCCACTGTGTGGTCGCCAGCAGCAGCGAGAGGGGGTTCGAAGCGGAGGTTGACGGGCGAGATGGAGGTCGACGCAATGGCAGGCCGTGGTGAGGAGGGTGGACATGGCGGGCTGACGGAACGGGAGAAGCTATTGGTGGTGACAACTTTAGTGGCAGTGTCCATGCAGGTGCAAACGAGGAATGGCCTGCGACAATGGGCGGCGAGAAGACTCGCAGCGAGGGAGCCTGTTGTCACACGGGCAATGGCGGATTCGGTGTCCTCTGCCAGTGTGTGGGATGCGCCTTTCCTCATGGCTAATGTAGTCTTGGCTGGAGTGCTGCCGAGAGATACGCCGAGGTGGTGGGTTAGGAGGAGGACAGGGGGCGCCTTGCAAGATCTGAGCATCGACGACTATGCAACTGAAGACTATTACCACAAGAAATTGAGGATGACAAGGTGCGCCTTCCAAGAGATCGTCGTCGGGTGTGCACCCTATCTTCATCTTGGGCTCACCCACTACCACAATCCTTTGCTGCCTGAGCAGCTGGTCGCGTTCGCTCTTTACAGATGAGCGTCCGACGAGACCTTCGACAATGCGACGTCCTCCTTTGGCATGGGAAGGTCATTTGCGATCAAGGCAGCGAGGGATGTCACGAATGCCATCTTGTCAGCGTACACCGACAAGATATGCATGCCAATCAGTCAGTGGCTGCTTCAAGTTACCCGCGCGTTCACGGCCAAAGGCTCCCCGAACAACTACCGTTGCATGGAATGCACACACGTATACGTGGATAACCCCGTCAATGCCCCGTCGGAAAATTATTACAACTGAAAACAACAGTACTCGGTGGTGGCTCAAGTTGTGGTTGATTTGGACATGCGCGTCATCGACGTGTTCGCCGAGTACCCCGGAAGTGTCCATGACGCGAGGGTGTTGTGGAACTGCTCGTTGTGCACGCGTGTGGAGGCAGGAACATTGTGCACGCGTGCAGAAGCAGGAACGTTGTGCACTCGTGCGGAGGCAGAAATGTTGTTCACAGCGGAGCTGGTCACTCTACCTGGCGGGGTGCGGACAATGGGATACGTGCTTGGGGGCAATGGGCACGGCCCCTTGCCATGGTCGGTGGTGCCTTACGACGGAGTTGTGCAGCCCGAGATGAGGCGTACTTCGACACGTGCCACAAGACCGCAAGGAACGTTGTGGAAGAGTTTTTGGGCGACTGAAGGGCATGTGGCGGTTGTTTCTCAGGCACCTTAAAATGAGTATGGATAACATGCCCCAACAGTTCACCGTGGTCTGCATCATCCACAACCTGCTCATCGAGGCAGGGATAGACTTTGACCAACGATTGATAATGGAGAGAGACGCGAACGGGAACGAGCGGTCAATCGACCTCGGCATGCATGAACCCGCGGGCGCAGTGTCTCAAGTGGACGCGAGTAAAGCGGCGCTGGACTTGCGCACGACACTGACTCGCCGCATGCAGCTCCTCCACGAGTAGATGTGGCAATCTATTTTCTTGCTTGGCCTCAATCTATTTTTTTGCTTGGCCTCACGGGTGCCTGCACGTGGCAGTGCATTTGGGGTTTTCGTCGGCCATGCATTTGGTAGGGATAGCGATGTTGTGGTAGTGTTCTGCCACATTCCGATTGGGGGGGGGGGGGATGTCAGTTGGTGTACATTTTTGGTTCGAGGTGCAAGTCAATCCTTTCATCTTTTCACGAAAGCAATCAATGCTTCCATGATCACTCTATTGAGTTTTTTTTTGGCAATACAATGGTCCAATTAACTATTTATGTGAATGCGAATCAGGTGTGTTGCTCTCGTGTTATTAAAACTGTGTGCATTATGAAATTTATGTTTACCTTCCCCACACCGTGGTTGACAATTAGACACACACAAAGTGGATGCATGCATAATCCGAAGTTATTTTTTCTTCACGATCGCATACAACACACACCCTTCTATTGCTTTCCAATAACACATAAGTTTATGAAGTCTTATTGTTTCATTTTCTTGTATAAGTGAATCATAGTGCGGTCAGGTGTGTTTTACGTCACGCTACGTCACAACCACATCACAGAAAAATAGCGTGCCAAATTTAATGGGGAAAAAAAACAGCGAACACGAAAAACATGTATGCCATTCAATTAATGGATGAATGCAGTTATTGAAAATAAAACCGTATTCGTCATTTCCAAAAGGAGCTCAACAAAATATTTCTTCTTGCCTGCTACCGGCGGTGGTCCTT